GTTCCGAAGTCATATCTTGACCTATGGAGATGATCGGAATCAAATTCAGTTGAATTTTATAATTCAACAAAAAAATACATTTTCTTAGTTAAATTTTTAGTTTCACTTTTTTATTTTTTTCTTATGCCTATAAGTGTACTTAAGAAAGAAGCGAAGAAAAAGAATTCGCTTTTTTTTCACAATTGTAATTTATTAAGATTTGTCAATAAAGAGTTGCAATTACCATTTTCTTTTCCTTTATGTATGCTCCTTAACTCTTAATTGCTCTATTATACATTTATTGTCCTTGTCTATATATATATATATTTTTTGCGGATGAAGCATATTTGGCTTCTTGTTATTCAATAATCGGGTCTACGAGGATTTTAGTATTAGGAAATCCTAGCGACTCCTTTCTGTTTTTCTTGGTAGTAAAATCCTAGGGGGCGTTTGGTAAAGGGTATCGGATTAAAGTAACGGAATAAACTCCATAGTTGGTGTTTGGTTCACCTGTATGGGAATTGAAATTTTGGAATGATTTCTAAAAATTTGGCATTCCTCCATTCTTTAGTAAAAGGGTAGGTTGTGTCCAAAATCCAAGTGTGATTCCAAAATCTTATAATTACATAATATTTAGTATAATTAATATTTATATATATTATATATTTATATTTATATTTATATTATATATTTATATTATAATATATACATATATATAATATATTATAATTATAATATTTTATTATAATATTAGTATATTATATAAATATATTATAATTATTTAGTTAAATATAATTATATTTATATAATATATATTATAAATTTATTAATATATTACAAATTTATTAATATTATATAATAATATATTTATAATATATATGTATATTTATAAATGTATATTATATGTGCATATAATTATAATATATACATGTATATAATATTAATAAATTATATAATTATATTTATATTTATTATTTTAAATATAATAATAACTATATCTAATATTAATATGCATTATATTTATATAAAATATTAGTACAATTAATATTTATATATTATATAATTATAATTATATATTTATATTATAACATTTGTATAATTATAATTAATTATAATTATAATATTTAATTTAATTAGTTACAAACTTATAATAATGATATTATTATATTATATAATTATATATTATAATTATTTAGTTAAATATAATTATACCTATATAATATATATTATAAATTTATGAATGTTATATAATAATATATTTATAATATATATGTATATTTATAAATGTATATTATATGTGCATATAATTATAATATATACATGTATGTAATATTAATAAGTTATATAATTATAATTATTATTATTATTTTAAATATAATAATAACTATATTTAATATGTAATATATATTATATTTATATAAAATATTATTATAATTAATATTTGTATATATTATATAATTATAATTATATATTTATATTATAACATTTGCATATTTATATTTAATTATATATATAATATTTAATTTAATTAGTTACAAACTTATAATAATAATATTATTAGTTATATGTATTATATAAAGTATATTAATTTATATAATATAATTAATATTATCAATTATACTAATAATTGTACATGTTTACTAATGGAAATTATTAATTAGTTAGACTAAATTTACTAATACATTTATACTAATATATTTAATTAGTGAAAATTTCTTATATCCCATTTACAAGAGCCAATAACTATCGTTTACGATGTGATTTATAATATATTTATTATATTCCATTTCGAAAGAGTCGACGAACCAAACATCAACTATAGTAATGATACACATTCCAAATACTTGAACCAAACAAATGTATTGGAATGAATGACCTCATTCCAAACTCAGGATATCCGATTTCGATTCCGATTCCGAGTCTGATGTGCGAACCAAACGCCACCCTAGTTACTTTAAAGTTTAAACCCTTTTGAGAGAAATCCATTTTGTTCTTTTGTCATTCCTTAGTGATGTAGCTAATTGTACATTAACTATGAATATGAAATGGTTTGTTTAAAGGTTGCTCAATAGGTCTCGTTAACATACTTATTTTACATCAAATTTACAATTTAAATGCATGCGCCCATAATTATTGTCCTCTTGTTTTTAAAAACTTCATACTTACTAATATTTTATCATCCCATTTGCATTTAAAGAATTGTATAATTTAATTTTACTTTCTTAAACAATAACACCTGAAACACATCTTTGTCCTTGTCCGATAAAGCCCCGTGAAATATAATACAACAAGTACTTAGTTCCAAACAGGTATGACAAGAATAAATTGAGTCTTCTCTAGTTTTGGTACTTTTAAAAATTGTAAAATATAGCTCATTGAAATGCATTGTGCTCTTTTTTTGCTTTCAAAGTTCAAACTTCGGATCAAGTGGATGGAACCAATTCTTATTGGTTCCTTTTTCATCAACCATGCAATATTATTCTTTTTTAAGAAGAGATTTTAGTAATAAACATGTCGAAATCGTCCAGCACCAATTGACATACAATGAAATTTAAAAATGCATAAGATAATAGGATTGAAAAATAAATCAAATTAATCAATAGTCGAATCGAATTTAGATTTTAAGAGTTTGTTCGAATTTAGTTCATCAATTAGTCAAGTCAAATTTAAATAATATTTTATGTTTGGTAATTTTTAAATTCAATAAAAATTTCGTTCAAATTCAATTTGCCAAATAAATAAGTCAAACTCGAATAAAATTTCAAATTTATCTAAAATAATCAAACAAATTTGAACACTAGACTCATTTACACCTTTGTAACAAGAGTTAATATTTTGCTATTTCTAGTAGCAAACCAACAACACCCTGAGCTGGAGAACAACCAGTAGACGGCTAGACCATATATATATTTTTGTTAATACTACTTCCATTGAAGAAAAAAAAATCGCCCTATATAAAGGGAATTAATTTAGGAGCGCATTTTACTAGAAAAATTTTGTCGTCTGGCATTAAGGTATCCGAGGTTAATTTTAATACGCTAAAAATTTAAGGCTACCGACAACTCTGTTGAGGTGTCGGTGGGATATATTGGGAAAAGGCCTTAGGAAAACGCGACTCTCACTATACCGCTGAACGGGTTTTCATATCAACCGACACATGTTTTGCTATTAACGGAAACACGGATTTGTTTGAATAGTGAAATTATCCCAAATAATATATATTTTCTCAACTTATTTTTTTATCTCACATACATCACATCACAAAAAGTATTACAGTAATTATTCCAAATAATATTTCAAATAATACTCTATCCAAACAAATCCACTGGCTTTGTTTGAATATCAAATTTTTTCAAATAATATTTCGCTTGCATTATAAACACATTTTCTAATCCATCTTTTTATATTTCTAATCACCTTTTTATCTCACATATATCACATCATTAAAAGTGTTACAATAATTATTCTAAATAATATTTCAAATAATACTCTATCCAAACAAACCCACTACTATTGTCTATTCACGCAAAAAATGAAAAAGAAAAAGAAAACATAATTGAGATTTGTTTTGATTAAAAAAATATTTATTTACCCAAAACAATTGAAAAGAAATAAAAATGTTACTGGGACTTGAAAATAAAGTTTAATTTGTATGATCTACTGTTGATTGAATCTTGTTCGTTAGAAATGACAAGTAATCAAGCAATTTTGTTTTATATTGTTCCTAGTGTATAGTTACTTTCTTTTGTTTATTGATTTAATATCAAACAGCACAAAATGATCTTTTGCCCTTTTGGCATATCGGTGGTACAAGCAACAGTTTGAGATTGTGGCAATTGCTAGGCAACAATTGTTTCAGGAAAAAACAAGAAAGGAATTTTTTATTAAATGATTTAAAATAACGTAAAATGATAAATCGTAACCAAAATTATCAAAAAATGCAATTGTAATAGAAATCCTCAATTCTTCTTTTATTTTTCAATCCTTGCAAAATCCAAAATACAAATTAGACGTGATAATGAGGACAAAATTATAAAGGTGTAGAATTGTTAACTTAATTTTCAGCCAAAAAAATGAAGAAAGAAATTTAAAAAAAGGGGTACTCTAATCATTTGGTAGCAAAAATAACAACTCTACCACAAAAATGGTTATTCGCTGTTCAATCTAACATAGTTTAAGCTACAATTGTTGCTTCTACAATAACTGGTTTTTTATGGAACAAAATTTGTGGATTAAATAAGAAGTTTAACTTTCTTAATTGCTATAATCTCTTCATATAATCATACCAAATAAGAAGGGAAAAAATATAGATACTATAAAATTATAAAAAGGCTACTTCGCGATCCAATTTATCAGTTTTGGGCCTTAGGATTATCGCGTCCTTTCTTGGGCTCAACCGAAATACATATATATATATATATATTGTCCAGTCGCTTGAAACTGAAGTGCTGTCTTTCAATGGGCCAATGAAATGTGCTCATGCATTGTGTCACTGTCCAATCCAATATCATGACAAAACAGCTTCAGAAGTTGACGAGAAATTTTCATTGGACTTTTTTTTTTTTTTTTTGAGAATCCAAATAAGAGGAATGATTAGCATGCATGAATAAAGGGCTTGAAGCCTTGAATAGTCAGGGGAATGGTTTCGAGAGCCAGTGTCTTAACACCATGCTTATTAACCATATAGACTAAGGGCGGAGCCACGGGATCCACGTCGGACGTGGTCGTCCTCCGCGTGGCGAGAGGGCATTGGCTTCTTGATGACGTGGAACGACGTGATTGGTGCTAACTTTTTCCCCTTAGCCTTTCCTTCCGTTTGTTGATGTGGTGGCCCGGTTCCTGGTCAAACAGTCACGCGGTTGTTTTGTAAATCGTAATGTCTTGTCTTCTTCTCTTTGTTGGGCTGGGAGGTTTGTTGATATTACGGTTTTAGCCCTTAGGTCTGCAGCTATTTACATCCCGACCTTTTATTGTATTTTTGAGTTCCTTTGTTCTTTGAGGGGTGTGTTAGTAATGTAATGTTTTGTCACATCCAGTCTGCTTAGCCAGGAGTTCAGCCTCTGCAGTTCTGCTGAAACGAGCAACTCCTCCACCAAGTCTACCCATTTCAGTTCCAGACGTCCTCACTGGGAGATTGGTGGCGCGTTTGGTCGCCTTCACTTCATCTTCAATTCTTCTCTTCTATTCCCCTTCGTTTCTTGCTTCTTCCTCTGTTGTCAGAGAGCAGGTGAGCTGAGGAGAGTGGTTGTACCTTTGCGGAGCACCGATTGGGATTGGTGGCGAGTTTGGCTTCGTTGCACATAATTTTTTTTCCCCTCGCCTTTTCTTCCGTTTGTTTGGTGCTGTTTTGCTGGCGAGCTTTTCACTGGAGGTCAGCAAACTGCTCCACCAAATCCACCCACTCCAGACGTCCGTCTCTTTTCCGGGGTCAGCCTGATTGTACTCATCAAAGCGGTTGCTTCTCCGACCTCATTTCTTCCTAATTCATGTGTCAGTGGTTACTTTTTTTCGGTGCCTTTTTCTCCTCCTTTCTTGCCATTTGCCTTTCATGTGGTTGCCCGATTGTCGTACACTTTTGTATTCCCATCTACTCTCTCTGTCTCAGTCTCCCTCCAACTTCAAACGACACTCTTCCTCTCTCGCTGTCCCTCTCTCAAACGATGACTAGATCTATCATTTCACCAACATGTTTTTCTTTCTTTTTTTTTCTTTGTTAATCAACAAAAAGAAGAAAACAAAGAAGCCATTTTGATTTTTTTTTGTTTAATTTTTGCTTCTTTCTTTGTTTTCTTGAATTTGCAGTTACTCACAATCACATTTTGCTTCTCATAGATTGAGGACAATGGACTGAAAGTCGACGAGAAGGAGAAAAAGAATCAACTTTCCAGGTTGTGCTATTTTCTTTAATTTATTTTTCAGTCTTTTTCCCAATTTTATCTAGATAGGGCCTTCAAATTTTTGTAAGAAAAGTTTTTGATTTCTGATCTCTTGTTTAGTACTTTAGTTTTGCTACTATTAACGATCTCATTTCTACTATATATTGGATAGATAGGGATCTCGTTTTTCTTCTAATAAATTGAGGGAAAAATGGAAGAAAAGTCGACGGGAAGAAGAAAAAAATATTTAACTTTTCAAGGTTTGAATTTTTCTGTAGTTTATTTTCCAACCATTTTTCTAATTTTACGCTATACTGGACCTTCAAGTTTCTGCTTCCTTCTTTTTTTTTTTGGCTTTTTTATTGAAGATTAAAGGTTTTAATTTCTTGTTTAGTTATTTAGTTTTGTTGCTGCTAATAGTCTTATCTTGTTTTTATGTCATATTTTGATTTCTATTTAGTAGATTGAGGAAAAACGCAAGGAAAATTCACAAGAAGAGATAGATTTAGCTTTTTAGATTGTGACCCTTTTTCCCCCCCAATAATCTTTGCAGATCACCTAAAATTCAGCTTTCAAGTTATATTCTATTCTTTGGTTTCCACAAAGTAGCTACAGGTATTATTTCTTCGTTTTGCCTTTTATCTTTACTACTGCCTTCTTAACACAGATGGTTATGCATATGAGTTATTCGTGGTACTGGGAGATCCAGTTTGAACTGTGCTTGGAATAGATGTCTTTTGTCATTACTTTTCCATTGCAGTAGTGGTGACTCTGCTATTACGTATTTCGAATTATTTTTTAAAATTTCCGACCAAGTTGTGGATTTGGACTATTTTGTGATTATTGTGGTTGATTTTATAAGTGGCATTTTTCAGGGTAGCTGAGTTGAAGGCTGAAAGATTTAGGATTGCTGTTACAGCTGAAGCTCAGAGCATTTTTTATGCTCTGTCCAAAACGTAAGTTTTTATGTTTGTCATTTCTTTATTGTTGTTTCTTGATCTTTTATTACCGGTTTGACTTTCTCAATATGATTTTTCAATATATTTTATGAATTTTTTCCTTTCCTCTTGTATTGGTTGAAAATATTAGTTCTTTGCAGTCTTGACTTATTATTTCTGGCTGCGTTTGGATGGAGTGCTTTTGCACCTGTTTTTGAAAAACTGTTTTTCACATTCCAAATGCTACAGTAATGTGTATTTCAAAAACAACTTCAAAAACACCCATATCCAAACAATATATCAAAAACAACTCCAAATATATTTCAATTATGTATATTTAATTTGTATATTTTAATAAGTATATTTCAATTTATATATTTTAATTATGTATTTTAATATGTATATTTCAATTATATTTTAATATATTTTAATATGTATATTTCAATTATGTATATTATATATATATATTATATTAATATAAATATATTTATTTCAATTATGTATAATATTATATATATTATATCAATTGAAATAAATATTATATATTTATATAAATACATTTATTTATATATAAATTTATAAATATATTTATTCAATTTTGTTTTATAATATATATTAATATGTATATTTCAATTATGTATATTATACATAAATTATATTAATAATAATGTATATTATATATATTATACATTTCTAATATTATATATCTATACATACATATTATAAATATTTTATTTTATTTATAATATATTTTTATATATTTATAATATATTTACATAAATATTATATGTTATATAAATTATATATAATATAATGTATAATATATTATACATTTATACACAATATATAAATATTTATGTTTATTTATAATATACATTTATATTATGTATAATATATAATATAATACATTTATACATTTATATTAATATACATAATATTAATTTTACATTTATACATAATATTAATACATGTATACATTTATATGAATTATATTAATACATTTCTACATAATATTAATATATATTTATAATTTATTAATTAATACATTTATATAATATTCATTTATAATTTATACATTTTTAATAATATACACTTATACATTTAAATATACATTTATATTATGTATTATATATATTAATACATTTATACATTTATATTAATATACATAATATTAATTTTACATTTATACATAATATCAATACATATATACATTTATATTAATTATATAAATACATTTCTACATAATATTAATATATATTTATAATATATTAATTTATACATTTATACATTTATATTAATATACATAATATTAATTTTACATTTATACATAATATTAATACATGTATACATTTATATTAATTATATTAATACATTTCTACATAATATTAATATATATTTATAATTTATTAATTTATACATTTATATAATATTCATTTATAATTTATACATTTTTAATAATATACACTTATGCATTTATATTAATATACATAATATTAATTTTACATTTATACATAATATCAATACAAATATACATTTATATTAATTATATAAATACATTTCTACATAATATTAATATATATTTATAATATATTAATTTATACATTTATAATATTCATTTATAATTTATAAATTTATAATAATATACACTTATAATTTATAATATTCATTTATACATTTATAATAATATACAGTTATACATTTATAAATATATTTATATTATGTATTATATATAATATAATACATTTATAAATATATTTATTTATAAATATCTATAAATGTATTATAAATGCATAAATGCATATTTATATAAAAATATAAAAATATAAATTATAATTTATACATTTATATAATATTCATTTATAATTTATTCATTTATAATAATATACTTCTATACATTTGTAAATATAAATGGATTATAAATGCATAAATATATATTTATATAAAAATATAAAAATTATAATATTCTAAAAATACTCAAAAATATGTTTCCAAAATACCTCTAAAAATAATCCAAAAAAATCTACAGTAAAAGTTTTTCATATAGTTTTTGAAAAACAACCCCAAAAACAACTAATCCAAACGGACTTGTTTTTCAGATTCAAAATGCTACAGTGGTGTTTTTGAAAAACAAACCCAAAAACAGCTAATCCAAACGGAGCCTCTATTTTGTGATAAACAAGTTCTGGTAATGCTAGCGTTGTTATGACATCCAATTGTTGGCAAAAAGCAGATTTTTGCATGAACTAGATGGTATGTTATTTTAAGAATTAACTATGGTTATACACTTTCTGGTGTCTATCGTCATAAAGAAATCTTTACTAATCAAAATAATTGTTTCCAGTAAAAGATCATAGATGTTGAGTAGATAGTATTGCTTCCATTTAAAGGTACTATCAGGTTTGAGATTCTTAATTTCATAAAGTTCATTGGGCTATTCGAATAGCTTAGCCTTGAGCATCAGATGCATCAAACAACTCCATTTCAGAAGTAGTGTTAGATGTAGAATTGGAGAGCAAAATTGCTAAACAATCTTATTCTTGTGCGGAATCTCCTTTTTAATTCTTCAAGTGCCATTGTGCACTATATGAATGTTGTACGCAAAACAAATCCATCCATGTTGTCTAAATTCATGAGAAGACTTGACATATTTCTTCTTGCTGCCTTCTTGCCAACACCACTAAGGGAGACGTTAGAAGATAGTTAAGGCCTTTTTTAGTGAAGCTAAAAGAAAAGAGTCAAAAATATATACTAATATAATAGCTGTTACATGATTCTAGAAAATACAGCATTTAAACTAAGATCATGTGTACGAAATATTATCAGTTTATTTTGCCATGGGAGATTATTATATTGGGGAACATAGCAACCTTACTGACAAAACAAGGGAGAGTTGTTACCTATGAGAGTTCTGAGGTTGATTACGCATTGATTCCATTTTCACACGTGAGCTGGAGCTATGAATCACCAGCAGGAGAAGTTTGTTAGGTTGGTTGAGCCTTATCTCATTTACTTCTAGTTCTATGATTTTTCTTATTTCTCCAGGTAGCAGTTTTCGTACTGGTTGGTTTCTTCTTGGTTATGACTTCTCAAAGAGGTAAAGAATCAATAGGAGGCAGGAGAGCGTTAGAAGAAGTCGTCTGCTGCAGTCAGGCTATCTCGAGCTACTGTGTTCAGCATTATAACTTCATACTTTTTGGATGATCTTTTAAGCGTTCATCAACTGAACTTCCACAACTTAAACATTCAAGATGAAAACTAAACTTGTTTACATTTCATATTTACAATGCTTGTATAATTACAGCTTCTTTCATGTACTACTAATTTTTCCCTCAAATTCCTGTATAATATAGCTCCATTTTATGATGCTAATTTTCATTCTCGCCAATATTACTAACTAAACATTAACTGGGCATATATACCACCGCGCAAAGCTTTGCGCGGTGTTGCCACCTAGTTGGATCATGAGTCATTATCCTCAGGTGGTTGAATATTTTTTAAGGTTTCTAGTGCATCATGTGAATAGAGATAAATAGTGGTCCATTATTGGATCTGGTCAATTCTCTAAGGCATTATTAGGGCCTCTTATCTGTATTTAGGAGATGACTATAAATGAACTGTAGTTCCTCTTAGATGTAATTAAGTCAAATAGGACTCTTGTTCAAACTGTTTGTCAAACTTAATTTATTGGAAAAATATTCAAAACGTTCATCACATTTTCTCAAATGAAATTTTTCATCCTTCACTTTTAAAATATTAATGTCATATCTCTTACAAATTCAAGTGATTAAATTTTGGCCCAAATCTAAGTTTTTAACTACATTTTAATATGAAATCACCACATATAGTCATCTTTTATATACAAAAGATTATATCCCACTTTTTTAGTAGCAAAAATGAATTTGAATTGGATCGAATCCCACTATTTTAGCAAAAAAAGAATGTGGTTCGAGTCACAACCTACTTTTTTTGAAGGACAAAATTAAATTTGAATCAGATGATTTGTTTAACTATAAATTGTATATAACCTTTTCGCCATTTAAAAAAAAGACTACGTTTAGTCACGTGATAGATTCATGGTAAAAAATTGTCGAAAACTTATGTTGGAATTATATTTTACCGACTTAATTTTGTAAGGGACATAAAATTATCATTTTAAAAGTGAAAAATGAAAAGGTTTATTTGATGAAATTTGAGGAGGGTTTTGAATGATTTTCCTTATTTATTTACTAGTCAAGCATAACAAAAAAGAAAATATTGAGTTCGAATAATATGATTTACGATTTCCTTTGTCCGGCGATGTGTCATCTATGTACATTGGTAGAGGGAAAAATCACATCACAAAAGATAGGATTGCTAGTGATCCAAGTTAGTAGTAAGAAATTAAGTACTAGGCAGGCAAAAAATTCAATCCAATTTGACGCAGAAGGAAATTGCATCTAAATTTCTATGATGAAATATCTTTATTCTAACTCAATTTGCTCGGTTAGTTGATCTTCTCCCTCTTATTCTCCCCACCACTAATAACGGCTTCTTTCTTCTGGATCGGCTCATCTCAGTTCTCAAGTTAGCATTATTGGAATACCACATGGTCAAGGATCAAAATTGAATTTCAAAGTTTTGCTGGGACACAAACTCTGCCCTCGAACAAAAGACAATGGTGGAATTGGGGTCGAACTCGAGATATTTAAGTCACCAGCTGTTCCTTTTAGAGAGAAATAGTGAGAACATGATGGAGAGAATTTTTGCAATCGCCCTTGTTTGCATTTTTCTATAGAAAACTTTTACATTTTTCATAAACATATTTTTTAATTAATTTTTTACTTTACATACATTAAATTGCAATAGTATAAATTTTCATGTAAACTCTTAAAAACAGTGATCCAAATGTAATAAGGCGGCAAGTGATAGAAAAATATATTATTAAATGTGTACCATTACCACACCTATTGATGATCATAAGCTGTCCTAGGCACTTCATTAATATTTGTGCATGTTCGATCAAATCTCTACGTTGCATGTAAGTTTCTTGCATGTTTTTTTTTAGGAGCTAAAAATTCTTTCCATCACTTGTAAAACTACACATTATGCAGCCCCAAATTTGTTGACATTAATGAGCATGTTGCGCAGAGGATATCAACTATCAGCAGTTGACAGACATTTTGTCTAGATGATTTCATGACGTATTTAACAGTACTATCACATCACCCTCCTTCCTGTGCAGAATCGTCCTGTATGCCTGGTTGTAGAAAACCCACTGACCTGAATCTCAACAGATGAAAGAACTAGACAGGAAGAGTAATAGAGATTTAGAGCATGGAGGGTTCTTGTTGTTTTGTCTACTTGTTAGTGAAGACAGGGTCCCCCAAACCCACTTTTTATTTGCATTATTGGAGGACAACAATTTTCTGTTCTTGATACAGTTTTGTGCATGCGTTTGTATTTAAAGTTTCAGCATCCAAGGATCTTATAGATCTTTTGAACAGTAAGACAAAATTCAACATGTCCATTCGAGTATTTACCAAATCATTGAGTTCAAATACTAAAATTCTTTCTCATCAATTTTTTTTTAATATATTTTCAACTATCTTTTTATTTCACATATATTATATCTCAAAAAGTGCTTTAGTATCATTCTAAAAAATCTTGTATCACTAGTTAACCAAAATTAGTTAAGGTAATTTAATAAAAAAATGTTGCTAATGCATTTAATCCTATTATCTGCATTAGCTTTTCCATCATCAATTTGAGGCAGAACTTTTTTCCTTGTGTAAAAGAAAAAAATCGAAGATTAAGATTATAGAACAAAATCTTTTTTCGTGAAAAGTTGCCAAAAAAAAAAACAGAGATTAAGAGTAATCATTGCTTTACCACGACTAAAGAAATGGACTCAAAGTCTTTGGACGTGCAAGTGAAAATCATTAGATTGAGTAAATTTGGATATAAACGTAATTATGGGAAAGTAAAAGCAGGCGGATGCATGCATCCGGATGCACGTATCAAGTAAGATTCCATGAACACCAAAGGAGAAGAAAACGAAATTCTGAGCTGGAGATGTGATGGCTTCAAATAACCCAAACGTTTGTTGTTTGTAATCAAAGCGAGTTTAATGAAATATTTTTGGTCGATTTTTTTTTTTTTGGTAGATTTATCTTTTGCAAAGATGAAATTCTTAGTAGTATGAAATTTTCTTGTGCAATGTAAACCTACTATATTAGCCATTACTTTTTACAATTCAAAGTACACTAGATAACTCTGATATATGCACATGCTGAAGCCTCGTTTAGATTGCAAGTTTTTGAATTTTTGATGAAAAATATATTATAGATCTGATATATATGGGGTAAAAAAATGATTAAAAATATGTCAAATTTTATTTTTTGCAAAAATTTACAATTTAAATGGGGCTAAAAAAGAATATTATGGCTATTACAAAGCCCAATAATTATTGCATAATTTAGGAACGATTGCATAGTCATTTCCCTATTTATGGCAACGGTAGCATTAAAGTCTTTTTTTTTTTTTTTAATTCAATGCCAAATTGAAGGGGCCATGAATGGCTTTTAAGAAAATGGACAAAATTGAGTAGAACTGTAAATCGAACCAAGCAGTTTTGGTATTTGACTTGAACTCAATTCAAATCATGTTCGTTCAACCTTATTTGCTCAAGTATCAATTCAAGTTTGAAAGTGATTTCAAATTTGAAAATATTAACAAATTAATTAAGATCTTCGACTTGATAGGTTCAAGAACATATAAAGTGAGTAAATTTCATAGTTTCCTTTTTTAACTCCACTAATTTCCTTTTCGTATATTGTTTATCTTATAAAATAGCAAGCGTATAATACTCTCGTCTTTTGAATAGGTATAATTGATTTTAACCACATTCCTAATTCATCGTTAATAGATTTCTTGAATATCATAGAGCAAAAATTAAGGGAAAAAAATAACTAATTAGAATGAAAATCTCTATATAATACAACATGAAATTTCAAGCCGAACCAAACTTTGATTGTATATATTTGAACTCGATATTTTGAGAAGTCAAGTTAAACTTTTTGTGAATATACATATGAAATTTCAAACTAACTCGATATGTCTTTCAAAAAATTATTAAACACAAACCAAATTCAAACATTACTTTTAATTGAGAAATAAAATCGGAAGGAAAATCAAATAATTGTTGATGGCCACGGATTGAGTAGTACGTGGGTTCTAATAATGGAGACTTAGTGCGTGGCCCCACTCTCCAGCCCAGCTTCGGCTCTAAAGCCTCAAATTCCTCAAACTGACGTTCCTCCACGCGCCGCTCTTCGACTTCATTTCGCATTGTATTGTCATGGTTAGTACTTAGTACAACCGTACAAGGACAATTATTGTGTTCGAAATTATTTGTGGCCAAAACCAAAACCGGCCTTTTCGTTTTCAATTTCTCCCAATCCTAATGCCTTTATTAATTTATTTAGGAGTTTCTTCAAGACATAGTCCGAGATTAATTGTCCCTTTTTTTTTTAACTTAAATAGTCCTTCTTAGTCATTGGACTTTAAGTGAATGAAACTCAGTACTAACCATGAATAGAAAATAATTGAATACACTTTATTCATGTTAACCATGTCTTTGTTATTTTTCAATTATTACTTTTCTTAAATGTGTTTATTGCGTTCTTTTAATTTTTTTTAAAAATGTGATGTGCTGAAATTCTTTACAAATAGAGCATAGAACAATTAAGCAATAAAAAAAGGGAAATTTTTCAAATTGGTCCTTAACATTTGCACAAAAAACTTTTTTAGTCCTTAACATTTAAAATCAGCCAGAATAGTTCGTAACATATAAATTATGAGCCAATTTGATCCTAATGCTCATATCTGCTTTTTTTTCCGACTAAAAATAGCACACCGGCATAATTTCAAGGGCAAAATTGGAAACATTCGTTAATCCCTAATCTTCCACCATTCTCTTTCTTTCTCATGGCAGATCCCATTTTACTACTACTATTCTATTTGCCCTAGGGACGCAATCTCTCATCAAAATTGTTGAGACAGCTATAGTATGGGTTTTTTTGCTAGTAGTAGAGTGGATGGTGGTTGGGTTGGGGGTAGATTGTTATAGTGATAGTCCCTAGTAGAGGCCAGACGAAGGAGAGATGATATTGATGGGTGAGGCGCTAACCGCTTACTCATGGCGTCGTTTAGTTGATTTTGTTTGTTAGCTAAGTTCTTCATTTCCTTTCCTGCAAGATACGTATCGCCCCGCGGTGGAGGATTGGTTACCTACTGTTGCTGCAATGGAGGTTTGGTCTTGATTCTTGAATGGAATGCTGTCTCATCTCTTCCCTCCCTAA